TCTTTCAAATACTGAAGGCTCGATCTCTGATGCAACAGTAATTTCGGAGGTTTAAAAAATTGCAAAAACAAAATACTTTATTTCACTGACACTTCAGTGAAACTTGTAAATTATTTGTTAATTATTAGACATGGAAGAAAATATTTGTATCTCCTCCTTCCTTTCTCTTAGCTTCCCCTTTTTAACCGCAGTTACTTAGCGGAGTACATTTTTAATTGTGCCTTGCCAAAAAATATAACGGCTTTAATGTGTTCGCGAGTCGAAGAAAAAAAAAAAGCGAAACAACTTTAGAGGAAGGTTGAGAGGGAAACTTAAAGACTTTGAACAGTGGTTCAAATGTTTTTCGCTCTTTTGTTGCTGTCGTTGTCATTGTCATTTGTTATTGTTGTATTTGGTTAGATGAACTGTGCTGCAATTCTCAATAGAAAGATAGCTTCATTGGATTTGTTTGGGCAAAAAATAAAATAGGAAGAGAGTATTTTTATGTTAAACAGACAAATCTTGAGTTTATGTTCAAAAAGTCGTTGTGCGAAAAGAAAACATTGTTAAGGAACAGTTGGGCAAGAGGGGAAAAAAGGGTCTTTTCTTACTCACAATTCGTGTTAAGCAATCAAAAGAAATACGAGACATTTTGTTTTCATATTTTATGAAGGTTTACTATTGACACGTTTATTTTTGAAGACGATCATCAGTACCACTGCTAAAATTGCTGTTATATTATTCCTGCTGTTTTTATAGTCAGTGTCTCGGTAACCAAATCAGTGTACATTCCATAAAGGGAATGGGTTAGATAAATTTAATGGTTTTATTTTTGATCCAAATTTGTTAGAGTTTCTTCTGGATTATACGCTGAGGATTTATTTTGTTGTATTGATTAGTTTTTTACTTTAGAATTATTGTTACTTTTTTTTTGCAGCGATTGGTGAATAACGATTTTCATTAATGTTTCTTTTTTTATTATACTTCATTTTTTTCCTGTTTTTTTTTTGTTTTTTGTTTTTTTAAATGACTTGCTTGCAGGTTATCGCAGTCAACAGTGATCGGTTGATTGCCTGACTTTATTTTGGATGGAAGCTTGATTTGGAGGCCGTGTAGCGGCCAAAACAAAGTGCAAAAATTTTTCCATTCTTGTTTCCAATTCGGGGGCTCTCCAGCTCCTTTTACACACAGTTTCATGAGGAGTACGGAATAAATATTGAACAGTATCAAGTGGATGAACAACTTGGAGAATTATCGGTGAGCAGCACCAAGACGAAGAAACTTGTTCGATCACCACTGAATTTGTTAAAGAATTCAGATTTGGGAAGCCTAGATGTCAATTTCAACACTGAAGGGCCTACCGGTTTGAAAAAGTTCAAAGAACAGGGAACATCTGCTGTTGATATCGTCGAAGGAACTACTGCCTTTGAAGGCACCAATTCGTGCAGGGATAGTGTTTCATGGGAAATATCTGTGTTCAAAAGTCCTACTGGTTCCAAGGTTGTGGAAAGTTTCGATCAGTCCGCCATCGATGTAGATACGGAACATGACGAAAGTGGCACTACTTATAATGGGACGAATGCTTCTTATCAAATTGACGTTCTCAAGCCTGCTATTGAAACCAGCTTTGATAATATTATAGGTGCTCCTGACACCACCAAACCTGACAAAAAAATTATTGCTGATGAAAATGTTGTTGGAGCTACTTCTGAAGGTGTTAAGCGCGTGTCTGAGAAAAGCTCAGATGTTCAGACTGAGGAGGAAAAATTGTTTCAAAAGTTTGAAGAAGGTGAACAACTGCAATCTGAAGTTAGTAGGGAGGAGATTTTGGAAAACATTGTTTCTGATGGGTCTGCAATTTCTTCTTCATTTGAAGCCGTTGAAGTACCCACTTCATCTTCCCAAAAACCAACAAATTCAAATCTTGCAATAAATGAGGAGAACGCTAATATTTTAGAAGCTGAAAAGGCTGTCGTTTTGCAGACAAATGAAATCCATCCAGACATTGTACTGGGGGAGGGCATGCAAATAGGAGATTTTAATGGTTCTGATTTGCATAAACAAGTAACTTTTTCTGCGAAAGAAGATTCGATCTCTGAAAGAAATGCTGAAGCTTCAAAATCTGTGCAAAGAGGTTCTAAAGCTCTAAATTATGACGAAGAAATTGACGATACAAGCAGCAATAAGGCATTTGACAAAGAACTCACACATCTGTTGAGATCTGACAGACAGGGCATCATTTTTGAGGAACGACTTCTTTCGGCTAGTCTAGAACTGGATGTTGAAACGACTTCTGAAAAGATATTAGAGAAATCAGAGGCAGAGAGGTTTTTAAAATCCCCATCTTTGCACGATCACGATTCTTCGGAGTCGTTAGGGAAAAGTGCAGGGACAAGCATTTTGAGAATTTCAAATTTGGATGAACATGTTGATGATTTTTATCCATATGCTGAAGAAAAACAGGAAGCACCGCAACGAAAGTCTTCTGCTAATAAAGCAGAGTTGAATCGGCCAGATTCCCGACCTCCTTCAAGACGGAGTGACAAAAGTCAACCGTCAAGGCCGTCGTCAAGAAAGACGGACAGACCAAGCTACGGCAAACCTGAAACTCCGCCTATGTTGCCCGTTTTATCCCCATTTAGTCGCCATAAAAGGAAAAATTTGGAAACTTCACCAGCAATGCTTGAACTTTTCGGCGTTCATGTCACACCAGAAACCTCAAAGTCAGATTCATATTTACAAAAAAGAGGGAAAGATAGTAATAACACATCCACACCACTTAGACCTGCTGATTTCATGAAAAGGGCTGCCGACATTGTTGATCCCAATGCTATTCAAACATCTGAAGTAGAAGGCAGGGTAGATGGAGATTGGAGAAGGACAAAGCGGGGTAAAAAACATAAAAATTTATTTGAACGTACAGAATTCAATGAACCAGGCCCAGAATATGCAACAGAAGGTGACTCTTCATTTGGCCAACCGTATAATTCCGACAGCCAAAAAGCATTATCGATGGTTGGTGGAAGTTCTCTGTATGAACCCGAACAAAAAATGAGTCAGAAAAAGTTGTCATTGCAAACCGATAGCAACGATAGTTATGGTATCGGGTTCGGCAATGGAGGAAGGCGAAAAGTGTTGGAAGAGCGTAGGACATCGGAACCTGGCCCTGAATATTACAGTCATATGGATGACAGTGATATAGTTGGCAGAAACAGCTTGGGTGACAATAGCAAGTCCGTTATCGACCAACAACAGCGGCAAAGCCATAATGAT